ACCTGGGCACACCTTTTGCAGGCAGGTCTGCTGCCTGTCCCTACCCCAGGAGAGAGGTCTACGCACTTCCTTCAGCCTGAGGTCTGCACTGCAGCCTCTCCCTTCAGCATCATATGCAAAAAAAAGCATTATATGCTTTAACATCTTTGTACTGCAGTTTCCATCTCTATAAATTAGGATTACTAATATCATTCATCTCATTATGACAGTTTTATTGTTCACATCTCTAAAATGACATAGAAAGACTACATTTGACTGGACTGTACAGAAAACTTGAGATGAGCTAGGGGCACTACTAATATCCAGAACACAGTTTATTTAGATGAGTGTCTGAATGGGTTTTTAAAGAGATTCTCTACACTCATGTATAATGCTTTTTTTATTAGAGAAGAGTCAGTCCTGTTGTGGGGGCTAACCAACATTAACAAGACACAGGCTCAGATCCAGAGAATTCAGGCAGGATGTCAGACTAAAGGCCAAAAAGACCTGTATGGAGGTCAAAATATGCAATCCATGTTTTCCTTTCTTTAAAAACGAGTATCAGCTCTCTTTGGTTATCACTCAGCTGAACTGCTATTACAAGTTAAATTATTGGAGTTATCACAGTAGGATGGGTCTGTAGGAGATGTTGCAGGAGCATTGTGGTTAATTTCTGTTTTCTAACATGGTTTAGACAAATAGGCAGAGCTCTAGGAGAAGAAACAGGTGAGGGCTTTATCACTGGAAGAGTAAATGGCATTGGCACTGCTGCTGAGAGATATGCCATATTGCTTTGAAGTTATTTAGAAAGTTTGACTGATGGCTTTATGATTAATTAACCATATAATTAATTATAATTATCTCTGTTTTACAGAAACAATTGCAACAACATTTGACATCAAAGGTGCAAGAATGGAGTTTCCAAAGGTACTTTTCAGCATTTTATATAAACAAATAACGACAGTAAAATCACATACTTACATGTATATATTTTCTGAAAAGAGATGTTCACCCAAACTGTAGAAAATAGCAAAAGGAAATTTCAGAAAACTTTCTCATGCTTGAAGTGATGACTCCAGAATGGTAGCATCTCTGAAATGCTAGATGTCCTCAGGTTATTATTCCTTTCTTATTCCTCCTTTACTTTATAAAAGAGAAGACCAAAGATACCAGTTAATGTCACCTTAATAATTCCATTTTGTTTGGTAAATTATTGTGTTCCCTTTTACCTGTTTAAGTAAATCCATCCATATTCTTTCTGCCCATTTCATTCTTTATTTTACGTTCTCTTCACATGCTGGTCTGTTCCTCCCTGAAACCCTTTTCAAAGATTTGAAGAGCGATAACAATATCCAAAAGCAAAAGCAATGCTCCAGCGTTAAAGCAGGAGCAGCACCGGTCCTTAGGTTAGCCCACTCTCATCCAACACCAGCCTCATCAGCTGTCTGAGCCTTCCCAAGACCCCTACTGTCCCTATTAGTCCCCACAAATGTCACTAAGGAGCTCCTACTGGTACAAAATCTCCAGCCTCCCCTTAACTTAAAGCTTATGGGCCTCTAACAGTGTTGAACTCCATCCAGCCCAGCATCTCTTCTAGCCCCAGAGCTGGTAAGTGGACAGGAATGTCCTCTACCATAAGCAGCTCTCCTATAGATGAGGTGCTTATGGCAGACCTGACACTTCCTGATGGGACTCTGCCAGACCAGGAGCTAACCCAAATCATAGCCTTTGCTTTAAACTAGAAACTCTTGCAACCTCCCAGTCTTTAGATTAGTCCTAAGAGCCCTTCAGCTCCCAAGTGCTCATCCCCAGTTTGCCATACCAGAAGAGGAAGGTGACAGGAGTCAAAGAAGATAGGGTAAGACCTCAGTTCAGTAGGGGCCACCAAGCTATCTTCTGTCCTGGTGGCTACAGAAGTCTGTCTGTCCGAGGGTGTGAAGATGGGTAGCTAGACAACAGCTAAACCTGGGGTGATGCTGCTTTATGGATCAGACTGCTGGATGTGGATGAGCAAAGCGGTTTTTTTGTGGAGGGATGCCGGGCCTGACGCGAGGACCGGTATTGTTTACAGCAGTATGCACTGCGAGAAAGCATGGCTGACATAGAGCTGGGCTAAGGTTCAGGCAAGCAGTATCCTGCTAGTCAGGGAGCAGATGCTCAATGCAGGGAGGTAGCTGGGCCTTGACAGCGTGATTTAAGTGGGCAGCTTGAGACCTCATACTAAAAGAAGAGCCGGCTGTGCTTTGATCAGGGACTGAAGAATGACTACAGCACTCTTCTCACATGGGTCCTTCCTCCCACTCTCCTCTTTCCAGCATTCTTCATCCTAATCTTGACATCATGTCCAAACTTAGGACAAACTTTTTGCCACCAATAACAGTATGAGGTTGCTTTAGCTTTCATCAAGCAGACGTTTGATGTATTCACATCATATGTTCACTGTAAGTTGATGATTTTGGTAAACACCACTGAGGCTGAATAGCGGTTAAATATCCAGTATGTGATTATAGCTGAAAACAAAAAGATGGACTGTCCAGTACAACAAACTCTGTTACAAGATGGGTCAGAAGCTGTGTGATATGTAGCCTTCCCTAGAGGGTTTCCTTAGGACTGCCTGTAAAATACAGAGGCTGTTATTGCAACTACCTATGGTCTGCATATGGGTATTGGGGCAAGAAGCTGGCAGAAAGTCAGCAGAAAATAGAAGTGTTGATAGGCCTGAATCCTTGCTGTATGTAAGCTATAAGGGCTAATAAGGTTTCTGCCTCAGAGCAACGAAAAAAAAGCCCATTGCTGCAGAAAGCAGCCTGGTGTATCAACTCAGTTAATTCCCATTTGTGAAGTCAGAAGCATTACTCAAGAGAACGGCTCTGGAAGGGGGAGCAGGTGCCCTCGGGAGCACAGGACTCTGGTTTGAGAGAAGACCCTGACAAGGGCAAGCTGGACCACAGCTTGCTGCTGTTCCTTAGTACCCCGGTCATGAGAAGAAAGTTGAGCACTATTTTTTTATGTACACATATATCTGAATATACCCATGATAACAGTCCCTGATGGGAATCTTTCTTTTTCAGTCCTAACAGAAATCACCAGAACCATTCCAAGCAGCTACTTGGACAAGAGCAGGCAGCATTATGCACTAATTTTTTTTTTTCCTTGCTTGTTTTAGGGCAATTATAGAATTATTTTACAAGGATTCTCTGATGAATCTGAAAATAATATGGTCGTGTGCTTGAATTTCACCATGATAGTAAAACAAGACATTTTCTGAATATGACAAACTTTTAAATAATTCCAGAATATGGAGGTCGCTTCTGCAAGCAACTGGAATCTGAGCTACGAAATAATAAGCACACTAATTTTCTTGAGGTAGAATACACCATATACTGTCTGGAAAGCTACATCATGGATAGTCTTATCCATTCATAGCACTGCTGTCATCAGATGCTCAGCCAACGTGCACAAAATCTCTGGGAATCGGGCATCCTGACTAATCCACAGAATAACCCTGACTGGATGTCAGGCTGAGGACTGCATTTCAGTGCCGTGCCTTGAGTTATGAAAAAGTTGAGTCCTTCAGAATATGCTGAACTAATACAAGAAGTTTTGAAGTGCGAGAATCAGAAGTTCACCAGTACTCAAAATATAACAACATTTGAATCTGGGAACCCTGTTGTTTTGTTTCTTTTAACAATAAAACTTGTTCATACAATCAATTTGAGAAATGTTTTTTATTCTCCTGTTATTTTCTGATTATCCTTCGAGGTTTCCTAATGTTCTGCTCTGTTCGCACTGAGCTGAACCAGAAGAGTAACAATTTGTTATGTGGTACTAGCTCATGTGCGTAACATCCAAAGTGGAACGTGTTTCCAGTTACACTGATCTGGTACGGCTGAATTTAGCCCTCCAGAGCTGTAACCACAACCCCGTAGCATGTTTTTAGCTCTTGCTCAGAGTCCGAGGGGCAGAGACTACACAAGATATCTCCAGAAGGAGGAGGACAGTCATTGCTCAACAGGTTGATCTTTCTGTCAGTTACCAAGAGCATGTCTAAAGCTCCTGCTGCGGCTTCTGCCTCTTGGGCAGCCTGATGTTCAGTAACCACCTTCCCTCTCTGCTGCGCCTCCACATCTGAGACCTTCAGTAAGATCTTGATGGAGTATAAGATTTGGTCCTTAGGAAGAGAGCTGGCATCCTTTCAGGCTTCGTGGCGCTTTGGTGCCACTGTACGGTGAAAGACAGCTGACCGGTGCGGTGTACAAATGTTTCCTGCGAAGGCAGGAAAACAGACAGGTACCCTCCTCGACGTTAGGATGTCATGTCCTCTTTTCGTCCTCAGCCCCCAGCCAGCGCTTGCTTAGTGAGTTCAGACACTTTTCTCTAGTGAAAGGGCCAATGTTGAAGGTGCATGTTGTGCTGGCTGTTAGGTCGTGCTGTGTCTAGCAGACTGCTTCCAAATGCCTGAAAAAAATGAAAAACCAGAACAGATCAACCCTCTTTCAGGCTGCGAAATACCAAGCGTGAAAATAAGCAGAAGTGAAGCTTTTAATCTCACTTTACATGCAAAGACATTCTTCATACTGGGTATCAGAAAAAAAAAACCTCAGAAAAAAACCCACACCCAAGTATGTAGATACTCCATTTAAAAATTGGTTTCAATATAGCTAGTTCAGCAACCTAAAACAAAATCATGAAAAGTCAATAAAAATATAAGAAGTAGAACTGCATTATGGTGGAGACATGAAGCCACGATTACATCCAAGTGGCAACGGCAAAGCATCTGTGCTTGCGTTCAGTCCACAGACCATTCCAGGAGCAGTCCACGATGGAGTATCACAGCAGCTCCTGCTCACGTTTGAACCAAGTTACTAGAGTTGCAATCAGTTTCCTCTTAATCTAAAATACCAAGCAAAAAGCAGCCGAGAGCCTGATAACCAGTTCCTACTTTTCTTCTTCTATTTTGCTCATTTCAAACAGTATTACTGCTCTAGGCAACAGTCTTACTGTATGATGTCCCTGTGTACCCCTTTCACAGTGTCCAGCAACCACCAGGTGAAGCCTTAAAACAGTTTTTAATGACAAAGTGTTCTGAGATTTTTGCTGCCCTGAATTATTCGGGGTGTTAGAAGAAATGTTTTGTTTATTAATCGGCAAGTACCACAGGTAGGAGAGACTAACAGCTCCTGGAAATCAAGGACATTCACATGCTCTATTTTTCATAAGCACAAGTTTTAATCCCTTATAGATGTTACAGGAAATTTACAGTATATGTAAAGGTAGAAATAGAATTTCTGTCTCTAAATAGGGACATTTACAGATAAACGCATGTATTCAGTAGCTTGCATTGCAGACTTTTATAGTGTAAATCTTCAGCTGAAGGTTTATGGTGACACATGCCAGCAGATAGGATTGCGAGGCAGAATGCAGGAGCCACAACTTTATAAAGCAAAGACCTTTCAAAGGCCTCAAGCTCTCTCCTGCGCATGACTGAAGGTTTCTACTTCTTGCAGTGCTGGTGGCTGCCGTGCTACGTTCCCCCATGGACAAGAGGAGGCAGGTTTTTGTAAGGTGTAAGATCAAGCAACAGCTTATCCCAAAATCACCGCAACACCGTAGGGTGAAGGGCACACCTGAAGGGCTCTGTGTGTCTTGTTCCCGGGACAAGAGCTGTTATAAGGCTTTCCTTTCTTCTGCTGTTGTCTGGAGCTGCTAACAGTCATCATTTAACTTTTTTCCTTTCCAAACTTTCCTGAGCCCATACTCAGGGCTCTACAGCAAAGAGGAGTCTACTTAGGATGAGGTGAATTACTTGGACTCGATAAAGACTGATCTGAATGTTTCCCTTTTCTTCAATTTATTGGGTCAGTAAACTTTGATCCATTTTTTACTACTTCATTTCCTGGCTCTGTCCAGAGTTTGAATGGTGTGAATGCTGTGAAGCGAACCATTCACTACGTATTTCTTGCTTAAAATATTCAGTGAGACTTACACGTCCTGAGATGCCTGTATTTTCCCAGGAGTTCCAGTGAGCTGTGCAAAGCCCCCTTCCCTGCAAACCGAAATAAATCAAGGAAGGCCTCTCATGTGGCATACTTATCTGAAACTAATATCTAAAGCCTTCACAAATATCTTTTTTCTCTCACTCATTCCTGTTGTTTTTAAGCGGCTGTCAGGATTTGCTGCAGATGGGAAAATAGCTTTTCTTCACCCCCTCACCCTCTGTTGCCAAATATGTAATTATCAGAAGAAGCAGTTCCTGTAAAATGTGTTTTCCAATAAGAGCGCACAATTTTTGAGCTGTGTTTCATTTGATGAAAACAGTAAAGCATGCATAATTTCAAATGAGAGAACTCCTGCTGACCGCAATTACATATACATTTGCTGGCTGAAATTGTAACATCATTTGAGATAGATAGACACACAAAGAAAATTCTATGCAATTCAGGTATTGCGATAGCATATCTTGTTTCCAGGGATGTACTGGAAGGCATAAGCAATCCCTCAGTCACCAGTTAGCTTAGCTGGTAGAAAGCACGCATACCCATACTGAACAAATAAACTGCATGCTGCCTGCAGCAAGGAGTTGGACTTGACGATGCAGGAGATGCGCCCCGATCTGTGTTACCGGCATCAAAAGAGAAACACAGCAGCATTAATCCCTTTTGCACAATTTTTTTTCTCTGCGGAAAATGCTAGTAATTGCCTTTGAAGTGTCAATGTAGCACATTATGCTGAATGATTTCAGCTGCTTCGTTCTGCCCGTGCGTTCCTGCCAGCACAGGGAGCTCAGGGGCAGCAGATGGGGATAGTGACATTTCTGACGGGAAGAGATGGGGAGGGAGGAAAGGGAGGGCAGCTCATGCCTGCAGAGCTCAGGGGAGAGAGGACAGGAGAAAGGAAATTTGGAAACTCTCCTTGCTGCCGTTAGAAATGACTGGACTTTGGAAAGCCTGGAAAATAGTAACTGTGCACATGTACTTGTCTTGTGGATCCCAGGCACAGGGGCCTTGTTGCATGGCTGCTGTAGATGGGTATGTCCATAACCTCTTTTCTTCAAGATACATTTTACCACTGGCAAAGAGAGACCTTATATATATGTATCTATATTTAATATAGATACATACATACATGTATATGTATTTGGCCAGATAGTTTATAACAGCTTCCCAAAGCTTCTGCCTGCAAAAAAAACCCCTTTTTTTTTCTTGGGCTTTAGCCTAAAGAGCAGCCTTAGCTACAGTTGTTGTGGTTTCAAATTTAAATTTCTTACTAACATAATATCTTACTGACATAACTAAGAAAGCAAAACTTCTAATAGCAAACCTGGGTCTTTGCTCACAGGAGGGAACGGTCACTCATTCTGAGTGTTAAGGTCCCCGTTTGCCCATTTTCCTGCCCTGCACAAAACCTTCAATTACTACAGAGTAGATGATAATGTTTTCTTAAATTGTAACTTCTGCTAACTGGGCACATCCACTGTGTTTTTTGTTCTCCAAGAGGTTTGGCATCTCTCCTGAAGAAGTACCTCCATACTGATTATGAAGTTGGATTAATTCTTATATACAACCTGTTCAGCCAGATTCGATTTAGACTTTTCACTGTATTACCCACATTTTTTGTATTTTTCATATAGTAGTGTAGTTTAACACTTTCAGTAATGCAAATTAAAAAAAAACAACACAACCCTACAATAAGTAAAGATAAATACAGAAAAGCAAAATTTTAGCATTAGTCCTCTGAAAGCAATAGAATTGAAAAATCTGCCCTTCACTTACAAGATGCGCAGAGGAGGAAATAATCAAAAAACCATAATGCATACAAGAGTGAGCTGTTGTTCACTTTGACCCTAAATTAATTTGACCCTGTTTTAGAATGTCTTGACTTTACTTCACATCTGAATATCAGCTGAGCAGACTGGTAGTTATCTTTCGTAATCATATATCGCACCGAAGGAATCTGCCCTATGTCAGTGGACATTGCATGCAGTGGAATTTTCCTTATATCTTTAAAGCGTTGAAGATGCTTTAGTAGCATAGATATAACATAGGTAAAACAATGAACATCATTAATGAAAGTGTCATGTATGACTGTCAGAAAAACAGACTGTAAGCAGCAATATGCCTTTCTGATTCCCCAAGCTACCTTCTAGTGACTCTGACTGCTAGATACACAGCTTCTCTAACCTGTAAAAGTTTTGGTGATTTTAATATTCTAATTATGGAGGAAAGGGGTTCCTAAAAAAAAATCTAAAGTAATTGCTTATCTAGGACAATCCAAAATATTAAAATAAAGAAAAAGTATTCTCAGATGAGTAATAAGGAAAAAAAAGTGGTTGTGTGAAATAAATAATTTTGATAACCTCAGAATGTTGTGTATTTTTTTGACCAAATAATGTAAAAATAGTAGGTTTCAACTCACTTAAATTTGAGATGCTTCAGCAAATAAGAAGTATTTTTCTACTTTTTGTTTTTGACAAATTTGCATTGTTCAAGGAAAGACCTTTGTGCCACAAAATCGTTGTGATTCTGCTGATAAGCCAGGAGTCAAGCTGTGATAGTCATACTCACATTAGTATCTACTTGACAATCCGAGTTGTCCTGTAGGGTACAGGTGCACAGCCCAGTTCTAAATGACTTTATATGCCTTATTCT